GGCATGTTCTTAGTGTTCACATGTGTGTTCTCAGTGTTTACAAGTGTTTCCAACTGTAATCCAATGCCATTAACAAAATCTCAACCATAAAATGTATGCTATACTTAAGTATTTTCATCTGTTTTGGTAATGTTGTGTCAAATAAATCCAATGGACGTTATGAGAAAATTGTTCAGAATACTGGCAGTTAATTGGGTAAATACAGCCAGGAAATGACCCAAATACAATCCATTCACATTGCACATGGAGTTAAGTTGTTTGAGCCAAGATGTTCCAAGAACAGAGCACAACACTAAACAAAATAAGTTATTTATAGCATTAAACATAGTGAAGCCATTGAAACTGTGCCCAAGAAAGGTGAGCTAAAACTTTAAACAAAGCAAAACATTTGTACATCTGAAACTACTTCATTTCAATGAGCACTGAAAAAATTGTTATAGTGCGAGATTCTTGAGTTTATGACATCGATTAAAAATCAAATCTATAAGCATCTAAGGTTGCAAGCCAGTTTTTTCTGTGAGTTGTTAAATTTACATCGTCTGTTCATGGAAATAAATAATTGAAATCTGAATACTACAATCAGATGATTAGAGAGTAATAAACCTACAGTGACTGTGAAAACCTACTATTGAAGACTGTCATGCAAAGGAACCAGATATTCCCCTGAAACAGACATGCACATGCACGTTGTAAACAGATTTTACAAACCTTCATGTGGTATATTTTATCCTTACGACTCACACCATCATTCTCACAAGCTCTAATTCTAGCCTGTGTTTAATATAAATACAACATGATTCGTATCAACCCAGGTAATTGTGAAATCTCAGTGTTTTTTTGATGATATGGTAGCACCTACATTGCTTTGTCCAGTAGATTAGAAGATCTTACTAAAAATCAAACTGACTAGTGAACATTGTTCGGTGTGTGAATATAAAATTATGTAAATCACGGAGTGGATATAAATCACTATTACATGTCAAATTAATATCCAAGCCAAAATATATTCAAATTAGTAAAGCTACAATGATCCCCAATCTTGCAAGATATAATATTTAGGCCTGTCACAAATTCCACCAATTTGTCAGGAATTAAATCGAAAAATAGGCAGCTAGATTAATAACAAAAGTTACTGTCAACACATTTTCCCACAAACAAGACACGGTAGATTTATAACTTTTAATATGGAGCAAGCTGTGACCTAAACTTGTGTCAGATGAGATTGATTTTAATTTGATCTCTTGTGTATTGTACTGTACTGAATTGGGTTTGAGTCAAGGCCATGTGCCTGTTGACATATGACCTGTCAGTCATACTGAATTCAAAGCTCAGAATCATTATTTTATTCACTTAATGTCAAAACACAATGTTTTGTCTCTTCTGTACTAATAAGTTAATCACTAAGACTTATCAGTGCTTTTTTTGAAAGGTTCATAACATGAAGGAATCTGTTTTCATACTTACAGCAGAGGCAGTAGCTGGCTGAGGACAGTACAAAGGAGGGGCTGGCAGGTAGAGACCATCAGGTACCAATCCATTCAACTGCGAAACCAGTGACTTGCATCGATCTATTATTTTAGTCAACAACCATGGTGTTGCATCCAGTCCAGAAATTGCCGCCGCTGTTAACATGTCTGTTATAGTCTTAGACACCTGTTCAACATTTGCTTCCTCATCTACATTGAATGAACCTGATTACGAAAATGATGACATCATTAATAGTGAAACAGAGGTGTTATTTTATACTAATGTTATTATACTAGTTTAAACTCACTGATAGTTATCCCTAGTATGATTACTCATGACTGAATTATTGATATACCCGGTAAGTTTTTAATAAACCCACTTTCAAAACTGTTGTATATAAAAGTATAAAGTATAGATACTTTGTTTTTTGACAAGATTTTGAGTATTAACTACCTTTTTTGTATATTGCAAAGTAATCAAAAAACAATGTTAAATAGAAAAAAAATAATACTGAAAAAGTGAAGTGCCAAGATTTCAATAAAACAAAAATGCATGTATTACCAAGCATAAAAGAACAACTCACTAATAGCAGTCTGATGATATATACATTGTAAATCTACATAAAACAAACTGTTACAGCGTAGCAACAAAATATACTTATTTATCATTTCATCTATTATGTACTGGTGCAGCCATGAGGGATTGCGAAATCATGGTTTAATCAACAGAGAGAAAAGACTGAGATAAATGTAACTGTGCTCTGCATTTGTTTAGTGACACAAATTTTCAAAAATATGTACCAGTCAAAATTTTCACTGGGGTACTTGTGACTGGTTTTGTGATATTCACTTTTGTGATATTATATGGTAATAATATTAGTAACAAACCATTCTCGTGAGATTTACAGTTATATGGCATTGTCAATTTTACCTACCCATTGATGCTAAGGATGCAGCTGAGGGACTTCTCTTCAATCCCACAGGTGATGAAGGAGGTCGTAGCGTCCCACTCTCCTCATCTATTTTAAATGGCATTCCAGGAACGGCGGCTTCCACCAGGTATTCTAGACTGGACTGCATGATTGTCAAAGGGTGCAGATCCTCGGGAAGATCCGCACTGACATCAAAACTGAGAATA